CCGCTGGGTTTAGGGTTTGGGTTTAGGGTTTAGGGTTCATATAACAAATATTTCACAAACCTAAACAGATATATAATTTCGTTTTAGTTGTAAAATTTAAACCCTAACCACTCATTTGTCAACCCAAACCGATATCTAATTTCGTTTAATTATAAAATCTAAACCTTAACCACTCATTTGACAACCCAAACCGACATCTAATTTCGTTTTAATTGTAAAATCTAAACCCTAAACCCTAAACCCTAAATCTATTTTCTGATTTCCTTTTTTTTTAATTGTGTTTTTTTTTTAATTCTCTAGTATTAGTAATGACATGGCAAAACGATTGGCTATAACCTGTTGGGTAAATTTAAAGGTTCACCCCAGAAGTAAACCTAAGTATGGTTCTGTAACTACGTAGTGATGTCAAACTATTGAATATACGAATTAAATGACAGTAAATCTAATCTAATTTTCACTAATTTGGTTTACGTTTACAATGATTGGGACGTATTCAGTTTCGCATATAATTTTTTTTTTTTTTATCGCATTTATACCTTTTCAAAGAATACATACAAATCAACTGCACATATACAATCGTCAAAAACAGACAAAAGAATGATTTAGGCGCAAGTCTTAAACTCTCTACTTAATAATTTTGTATCGTCACCAAGTTAAGTCAGCTAATATCCGATCCGTCCAAAGGATTGAGAAATCTTATCTCATGGGTTCAAAGGTACCTAGGAAGGAAACTACTTTAATCCTACTTTGGTTACAAAGGTCCATGAAGATTACATACCTCGGCTCTAGCTAGGTAATAAAAAAAAGTTATGGTTAGCTGGTCACAGCAATTGCAATCGTTGCATTTTACTATATTTAGGTCTTTAAATGCTAGAAAAGATTGTTGGGCTATGTTTAGAAAATATTAAAATTGAAATGGAGATTAAATTAGATGATGAGGAGTGGAAATTGATGTGGACACATCGCCCATACACAGTACACACACACTTTAGTTTCAGAAACCCTTATCCTTTTAATAAACTTCTCTCACCACCAACACAAGATTTTTTTAATTACTCCGGTAAACGAGCAAAAAGATTAAGCACACATACTCATGTAACTATTTTTATAATC